CAGGCACCAGGCCTCCCTCCGCTCTCAGTTCTCCTCTGGCGAATGGGCCTCCTGGCCCAGCCGGTGGGGGGCTGGCGCCCTCTGGTGGGGGCCGCAGGGGCGGTGGGACAGGCAGGCTTTCAAGGCCAGAGGGAGGCTGGCAGCCACAGCTCGTTGGCTCTAGGCCGGGGCGGTGGAGAGGCAGGCCCGCCTGCAGGAGCTACCAGAAGCAGCAGAGACCACGTGGGTTAGGGGGAGGGGCTGGCACACCTGTGGTCCCTCGAAGGTCCCGCGGACAGAGCTGTGGCAGGACCTGACCTCAGGCGTGTGCACTGCTGATGGGAGGGACCGTCAGGCCAGGCCTGGGGGGAGGTGTCAGGCTGCACTGTCGCCGGTCCGAGCTGGGGCCTGGGGAAGGGGAGGGAGGTCCCTCCCTTACTTTCAGGCAGCGGACTGTGTTGCCCAGGAGGGTCTCCCCCGATCTGTGGAGTCTGGATCGCCGACTCACGCCTCGTACCCTGGGGGGGGGGTGCCCACGGGGGCCGCCCGAGTTGAGGAGGGTCAGGTGGAGCTCGTGGTCCTTGAACAGGGTTCCTACAGGGTGGGGGGAGTCATGCTCATTTCATCCTGCCCGCCCAGCACGCTCCCTGCGGCTGTCCCATGAGTCTGCCTGTGGCGTCTGCTTGCTCCTCCTGCCCCTGCATGTGGTCAGCTCCTGCGCCCCGTGTGGGGCCCCCGGGTGCCCACCCTGCTTCCGTTCCGGGCATGGCGATGCTTGGGTTGCAGAGGCTGGCACGTCTGGCTTTGCCTTTTCATCTACAGCAAGATAGTTCTGGTGGGGACTGACCTGATGGGTGTGAGGCAGCTGCGGCCCCAGCTGAGCCCGAAAACTGCCCAGGAGCCTCGGTATGAACAATACATGCACGCGATTGTCGGTCCGCCGGAACCACGGCCAGGGAAAACATGCTCTCGTCTTTGCTGGCCGAATTCCTACAACCAAACTCTGCCTGTCTCTAATGCCTCCCCTGACACTCAGGGTCCCAGTCAAGTTGCAGGCTAGTGAACAGTAAGTACTGCAGCCCCCTGGCTTTAAGGTATCAACTCAGCCAACACACAGTATCTAGAACCGGACTCGTTCGTGGCCACATGTCCTAGCAAGCCCTGGAAGCCTGTTTACAGTGGGGCCTTGACTTAGGAGTTTAATGTGTTCAGAGTAACGAGCTCGTTAAGGAGCTCGTTAACTCAAATTACTCTATCAACTCAATGCAAAAAATCTGCCGAGAGACAGCTGGTATCTCAAAAAAACTCGTTAGTCGGGACACTCGTAAGTCAAGGCCCCACTGTACAAGTTTTCAAGGAACGGCCCTTACGAAGCAGGACGGAAAGCAAGGGACCCAGACCTGCAAGGGACCCAGACCTGAAAGGGACCCAGACCTGCAAAGGACCCAGACCTGCTCCTCCCTTGGGATTCCTCTGCCCCAGGGGCAGAGTGTGAGGTTTCGCACACTCAGAGGCAGCTGCTGCTTAAGACCTGCTTTGTCTCTGCCCTCCTCCTCCCTGTCCTCTGGGGCCGGCATTGCCCTGCCTGGCTGGCTCCCACTGCAGCTTCTCTGGGAGGTGCCACATCCCCGAGTGTGGCTGCAGGCTGGTGACTGTGCGCCCCAGCAAGACCTCCCCCTCACCCCAGAGCTAGGGAAGCTGGTGGGCTTGGCTGGCTCCCAGTTTGGCAGGAAAAAGACAGAGCACACACTCCCC